GGGAGGGAGGGGGGGAGGGACGAGGAGAGAGGGAGGGGGAGGAGGGGAAAGACAACTTGCCTCCAGCAAATCAGAATCCCTGAAGTCCTGACCAGCAAGTCTGGCATCCAACATGTCTGCAATGAGGACAGCACACGGTCAAATAAAACAAGTGAAGTTAGTGAAACGGTTCTCAGACAGGCATGTGCCATGAATAACACCTTCCACGGTGATAAACCCAGTGCTGAAAATGGCTATCTGCCCATGGATCGGATTAGCACGTTCCCCAGGCAGGACGTTATCCATCATGTAGACTTGGAAATATGTAGGCTCCCTGATTTGTCACAAAAACCTCAAGCTGCCAGGCGGTGAATCACTTTCCACATTTCAACGTAACCAGAACCCATGGATTAATTCCCCAGGTAAACCTCGAGGTAGACACTGGCATCAGCTCTGTACAGTCATCACAGATGCAGACCAGGTTTGCCTGATGGATGATATGGAAATCCATTAAATACGTAGGGCTCCCTGATTTGTCACAAAAACCTCAAGCTCCCAGGCCGTGAATCCCTTTCCACATATCAACATACTCATAACCTGCAATCAGACTTGTCTTCACCTCAAGTTCAACATGCATACATGCAGCTGGAGATGGCAACAGAAACTTCCACAGACACAGAATCAGCAACAGACTTGTGGCGCAGTGCGCCCACACAAAAACTCAGAGATATGGCCTTCGGCCAGGAACTCAGCTCAAAACAACTTGTCACATCTCATGGCTATGGCGTCTGAGCGCAAGTCTGGAATTCCCACCCGAACACTGTATCCACTGTCAGAGACACTCACACGCACGTCTGCACACAACACTTGGATCTACCCTGAATGTCGGCACATACACACACGCTAACTACTAACTCGTCACACTGGCGGCTCTGCCCGCCGTCGTCTTCCTCCTCTCTAGTGGCTATGGCCACTTGTCCTCTTCCACCCTTGGGCTCTCTTGCTGACCACCGGTGAACTCAGCGCTAATGAGTGCATGACTGACCGCTGCCTCTATATTTATACCGTTTCGTTTGGTGGTCTCGGCCTGCCCGATTTCCCAGGCCCTCAAGATGTGCAGTCCCACTCTGGTACTTGCTGCAAGACGGACTGGACTGGGACTGCCTTTTCATGTGCCCCTTCGGGGTTGACCTGGGACTCTTGACCTTTCAGAGATTTGACAGGCTGCCTCTACTGACTTCCAGAGGTCAAGTTGACTCTTCGAGAACTACTCTAGCCACGACCTGCTGACCTTGCAGAGGACGTATGGCCAGTTGACCTTTCGAAAGGTCAACTGTAAACTTGTCTTTTTGGGACACCTACAGACAACCCTAAGACTTCTAAACAATAGACCTACGGATCAAATACACACGACCCAAGCTGCACATACAAAAAATTTGTACATGGTTTTAGGGACAGGTCGCCGGTTCAAAGCACACAAGGTCAACGGGCAACTATACAGTAGGCTAGGAAAGGTCTGGGGATCCAGTCCTGGTATCTGCAATGTTGCGTGAACTGGGTGAAACCCTTCACTTCTGCCGTCCTAAATTTGAGGTCCTCTGACAACTTTTTAATCCAAGACAGGACCTTTGCCTTTTCTTGCTCTTTCGTAAGCATGAGCGACATTGGGAGCGGTTTCTAGGAGTTCTGCTAGTGAACCATCTGTCGTCCTCAGGTTCCTGGTAAGCAAACCTGACTTTGTACAGCTTCTGGGGACGATCACTACCTCCCGTGCGGAATACATCTTCTTCTAGTATTTGGTCTATGTCCTGGGTGCCATCCATATCTGGTGGAATCGTAGATCTCCGCGAAGGAAACTGTTCACTAGTGACACAAGGCAGCAACTTTGATGCATGAAAGACCGGATACGTATGGAGGTGAGCTGGAATTTCTATCGTATACGATGGTCCATCTTCTCCACCTTCGACTTTTAGGACACGCCACGACACTCTATACGCGGGCAAGGGCTTCTATGAGATGTTTTCTTCTAGTGCGAATTCCTTTGACTTGACCCAGACTAAGTCTCCTACCCTGAACTGCAAGGGTCTGCAATGCTTATTCGCTTGTTCAATCATGCGATGCTGGGCTTTTCTAAGGTTTTCGATCACCTTTTCAACTTCCTTCTCGTACTGTAGAGCAAACTCTCTTGTCACGGGACGTAACCTTTGAATCTGGTCCCGATTCAGTCCTTCAAACGGGCTACGTGGTCTAAAAGACTTACGCAGCTCGTTAGGAGTTCTGGAAGTAGATAGGTGTACGCTATTATTATAGGCACTAGCTACTTTAGGAAGCATCTCATCCCAATTCACTTGATGGGGTCTAATATACAATCTGAGAAATTGTTGCAAGATCTTATTCATTTGTTCGGTCTGACCATTTGTCTCTGGATGACGACCTGACAACATCAAAAACTTAGAGTCATAGACTTTCATGAGATCTTGCCAATTCTGGCTGGTAAACCACGTGTCTTTGTCACTAACTATTGACAGTGGTATGCCATGCTCACTTACCCCAAAATTAAAGAACTTCTCTATAACTAATTCAGTCTTTTTGCCTCTGCGGGTGATGGAACGAAGATCGCATATTTGCTAAATCGATCTCTTACGACCATGACTTGACTTTTTCCATGCCTACTGCTGACCCCTGTATCCATGAAGTCAATGGAAACAGACTCTCCGGATCCTGCTGGGATAGGCAAGGGTCTCAAAAGACCTAGGGGTGCTCTTGTCGTTGTCTTGTTGCGTTGGCAGACTTTACAACTGCGGACATACTCTATACAGTCTACTTTCATGTCAGGCCATGTGACGAGGGATTATCTGGAACTTTTACCGAAGACTTGGTGTTGACAACATTCCCATCTTCCCCCTCTCCTTCGTCTGATCCCCTCCTCTTCGTCTGTGTATGGTCTGGACCTGGCGCATTCTTCCTGTGTATAGCGCCAGGCCCCTTCACACCTTGTGATGAGGATGATGTATGTTGGGCATTGCGACATTGGTTGGGCTGGTATTCTAGCATTTCGCTACGCTGTCTTGCACTACGTGAGGGAGATCAGCCCCGGTCAGGTCAGGACTTTTATCTAAGTCTTCCACTGCGCTACAAAGCACCATTTTTGTATGTATCAGGATGTACACTGCTTGTTGAGACTCTACTAGCACTGCATTGTCCATTCAGTCCTTTTCATCACATTGCGGATCCTTGGCTATATATGTACATCGCCCAACTGGGCATGTATCACCTCAACACACCCTGTCTCCCCACAGCATACGCCTCCTCTCCCAAAGACCGCCATCACCAGCACCAGCCCGCGCCCCAGCAGCCTGGCTATGGCCGCCGTGCGCCCACTGCCACCGCAGCGCCCCTCTCACCTCATGTGCCCGCGTGTGCCCTCTGGCCAGCGCTAGCGCAGCACGCTCGCATGACAAAGCGGCAGGGTGGCCGCTCTACCTGCTCAGGTAAGAATGTGCTTCTGGTTGGGCGCTCGCTTTCCTATATGGAAAGTGAGCCCTGCCTCTGGTTGGGCTGGGCCTGTTGTACAGGGGCCCAGTAGCTTCACATTGGGCCAAAGTGTCTGCCTGGGATCGCAGCTTCAAGGTGCGCCCAACCACCCACTCGGCCTGTCACATGTTCCCTGCTCTCTGATAGGCTGAGAGGCCAGCTTCCACATCCAGGCACAGACGAGCCTAGAAGGTTCCTCGAAGATTCTGATGCTCACTAACAGAACCTTGGTGCGTGGTAACGGTTTGGCACCCAGCAATGCAGAAATGGCAAAAATGGGGCGCCATGTCAGATTCAGGCCCACCTTCACTTAGGGCAGGCACCGTGCTTGCTGGGGGCCCCTTGGGTAGTGGCAGGCCGCAGCCAAGCGGCCTTTGTGAGGGCTCATTCCTCGAACCTGCGCCGGCACAGGATGCCAATTCCCATGACAAGAGGGGGCTTAAACCACCAGTTCTTCCGAAAGTCACAGCCGCGATGTGCTGGGATGAACGGGCCTGGGCTGCTGGCATAAATTCATTCAAGTGGAAGCGCCACGGCACTGGAGCAATGGCTGGCTGCATGCACGCCGCGACGTTCGGAGTACCGGTGGTTTCAGCCTGGTGGGGAGGGTCGTGCATGGGACATATCATCTCTTGTTGAAGGGCAAGACAACTTTGGGCTTGCCTTTGATTCGTTTTCTGTTGCTTTCTCCAGGGCTGATGTTGCAGCACTGCACCATCGCTCACCACTTCGGTGAGCCATCCATTCTTTGCTGTATCTCGTCTCTGCAGTGTTAGAGCATGCTCACACTACTGTCTTAACGCCAAAAAAACGTACATACGTTCTATTCAACTTACCTCAAAAAAATGGGTTTTCCGGAATCGCTGATTTTTTCCCGAATAGAACGTAGAACGTACGGTTGAATATAATGTACGAACGTTGTATTCGAATACAATGTACGTACATTGTCTTCAAATTTTTCCTCATTTCAATTTTTTTTTTCAATCAGAAAATTCCGAAGAAAGAAAAAGAAAGTTGTACAACATTGCAATACAAACTACTTTTGCCTGAGGGTCATGTCGAAATTCACAACCGAATTTGAGAAAAAAAAAAAACAAGAATAAAATCATCTTTTGAGGGCATTTTGCAGTGTTTTCTGAACTTCGATTTTTTTAAAATAATCCAAAAAAAAATCTGAAAAAAAATATATGTTGTACAGAATCGCAACACAAACAATTTTTATTTTTTTTTCAAAGGGCGACGGCCTTGAGATATCATCATTGAGCTGACCGGCCCCAGGCAATTCAGATATAGCTGATTTTACTGCTCAAATTCCATCATCTGGATTTGCCTGAGGGTCTTGGAGAAATTCCCAACCGCATTCGAGAAAAAAAAAAAAAAAAAAACTATGTCTGGTACTAGAACACCTGCAAAGTTGTACCCTAAAACCCGGTGTACAACGTACGTACGTTGTATTCGAATACAACGTACACCGTACGTTGCATTCGTACACAACGTACATACGTTTTTTGTGGGTTAAGGCAGTAGGACTTTTCTGGATGTATCTGGCTGCAATGACACCCAGGGCAGCCAGACCGTCCCTGGGTGTATCTGGGCGCAATCATCTCCAGATACAAGTTGAAAAGGTCCTAATCTGAGTATGCCCTTGAACTCGCACCTTTGTGTGCGAGTATGCACTGTATGTCCCATTTTATTGGCCATAAAGAACGACCTTTTATCCCTGCTTGAGGTACCACAGGCAGTGTCTAATGGCCTACGCCAAGGTCTAACCTTGGGGTACCACAGACAATGTCTAATAGCGTGGGCCAAGGTCTTACCTATGTGAGCCCTGGCCTCAAGTACTGCCCCTCCACCTAGCACAGCCATGTTCTCTAGCCCGTTCTGAATTCTCTATGCGGTCAGATTATTCATTGGCAGTCTGCATGTCATCAGATTACTCGTTATCACTCTGTATGTGATCACATTATTGGTCAGGTACATGTTTTTTTTCCTGTTTCTGTATCAATATCTGTGCCAGTCTCTAGCCTGCTGAATTCCCCGCATACTCCTTGTCCAGCTATGTGTGTACTCTGTGCTGGGGTTAACCCCCTTCCCTCTATTCCAAGACCCCAGCCTGTAAGTGTGCATATGGGCCTGGCCACATGGCACATAAAACAGAAAGAAAAACGAGTGCATCTGCCCACAGAAGGTGTCAAAATACATTCGTTACTACTAGTAAACTGCAGAATCATTCCATTTTTCTGAGGGAAGATTGACTCGTTTCATTTTTGGGAAAAGTTATAGAACCTCCTTTGTAGTAAGTTTGTACTCATTTGCCTCCAAACGGGGCAAAAAGTGGCGCAGGCCCCAAAATGACTTTTTGCATCATTTTTGCACCCTGGGAAACACTTTCCTGCCATTTTTGCCAGCGCGCATTACCGGCCCAGCCAGGGCGCAAAAATGACTCGAAAGAGTCGAAAAGTCATTTTGGGGCCTGCAACACCTTTTGCCCCGCTTGGGAGGAAATGAATACAAAGGTTTCATCGCACCTTTTGCCCCGTTCAAAGGTTTCATCACGGGGAGGTTCTATAACTTTTCCCTTCATTTTTCGGTTGCTGTGTGCAATGCGGCAAGGCCCTTTTCTGGCTACCTCTTCCTCCTCCCCTCCTCCTCCACCCCCCAAGAACACAATGTACTGACTCACCCATTCCACTCATGGCGACCATCTTCCCCAGATACCACATACGCTCATTATACCTGTATTTGGCACAATTTCCAGTCTAGATACAGGGGTAATGACTGGACGTTCTATTCGGTGGACAGTAACTATGGGGGCCGAGCCAAGAGGTTTATGGAATCGACCTCACAACTTAAGTCACAGGAGAGAGGCGAGTACTCCTCTAAAAGGGCGACGAGGAGGAGAATCATCGACCTCGCAGCTTTGCCAAATGTCACTAGTGAGAGGTGAGTACTATAGTGACAACAGTGAGCGCGTACTCACTCTAGGATTTTGCTGGATGAGGGCCTCGTTCGACTACTCGCCATCCTCCACACCTGGCGAGCGCGACTTCGTTCCGGGCCTCGTTCGAGTACCGTAATATTTGAGGCTAGTCCCCTTTGAAAGGAAACAAAAAAGACATCACGTGATGGATACTGGCACTGGGACTTTTCCACGTCTCTGTGGACACAGTTGCGGTTAGGTGGATCCTGGCCGGGTCGGAAATGCAGTCCTATACATCCAGGAAAGTACTAGTGTGAGTTTTTTTTTTTTTTTTTTTCCCCCGATGGACCACTGATCAGATATTAAACTGATCAGAACAGATACTACACTTGATCTTAGCCAAAAGGCCGAGAAAGGTATGTGTGAGTATGCCCTCAGACGCGAGGCCTCTTTTTTTGTTGCATGAGTATACATCCAGGAAAGTCCTAGTGTGAGTATACATCCAGCAAATATGACGAACGAACGACTAAGGACGTTCTGACACTGGGTAACTTCGTTCCGTGAATGTGGTCGTATTTTTGGGAAATATTCGGATCGTACTGCATTCAGGATAGTCCCATCATGTGTACGCCCCAAGTCATTTTCTGGGCAACAAAACGGATGGCAAACTCAAGAAACAAATCCTAAACACCGTGGCCCTTCGATGATTACACAGTACTGATCTCCCGCCCTTTCTCTCATTATTTCCAGTCAGCGGACCTCCTTGCACTGCTCACCAGATGTGTAAAAGGGCGAGTGCATCTTCAGCTAGAAGGTGGAAAGATACACTCGCTTGCCATTTTGTCTTTTTCAAATTTGGTGATTGGTAGACCGAGGAGACCAAGATCCTCGGTGATGCGCATTGGCTATCTTCTGGTACTTCCAAGTAAGTTCGTCGAAGTCACTTCAACACGGTTTTCCACCTTTCTCTCCTCTCCTCCTCTCCCCCCCCCCCCCCCCCCCCCCCCC